GCTTAAATCACTGGAGCTGTGAAGCTCCTGAAAAACTCTCGACGACATGGACGCCATCCTGTCCCGCGTGGGCGACGCCGAGTTGCGGCAGCATTGCGTCGATGCGGTGCTTGGTGAGCTGAAACAGGTGGACAATCAGGTACAAAATGTAGTATCAGCGCTGGAGCGAACACTTAAGGTGGTGCAGGCGTCTCGGGATGTTCACAAGTCGCTGGTGCTAAACGCGTCTGAGCAGGTGCAGGCATCTTTCCGCCAATTGGGCGAGTCCTGCAACCAGATCGGCCCATTGCTGCGGCTTCTGTATCGCAATATGAGTGTAGTCTCCTCATCAACTACAGAGCAACCAGCAACGCCCACATCCTCAGCTGTAGAAGGTGCAGCTCCCACGGTCTCAGATCTCCAAACCGAGTCGAAACCAACAGCAACGCGATCGACAGATTCTGCATCCACTACAACCAGCGAGTACGAACCATCATCCGACGAAGATGATGATGATGATGTGGAGGTGGTGGACGTGACGCCGCCAACTCGCAACAAGAAGCGCAAGGCAGTGACGGTGGACTTGTCCGAGTCAACGCCATTGGTGAGGAGGAAAACTCTCCAAGAAAACACGCAGACTGTACGGAACCAATTGGCAATCGAGTTGCGAAATATACGAGCAATCCAGATTTCTCGATATACTGTAGCGGAGCACAAGGAACTGTCGAGTTTTGTCAAGAGCATATTCACGGCGGTGGATAATTTCCACGATTGGCAACCGCGGGATGACCCGATGCTAGCACAGTTGCTGGACGAGATGAACAAACGAATGGATAGCTTCAAGGACAGCAGTACGCAAAACGCGAGAAGGAAGGCGATGGACGAATGGCTGCAAACGATGACAGCATCTTCGTTCGTCCCAAGCCTCGATCTTAAGTCCATACCACTGAAAAAAGACCCACGCGCTGCTAGCGTGGAAAAATGCCATGGTTCACAAGATCTTAGCGCGCTAGTTAAGTCTGGAACTAAGATTTGTAGCAAATTGCGGACTGATACGTCGAGCAACGAGGAAAAGAAACAAAAGTACTTCCAGCCTCTTGTCGACGCGAGCACGAAGTACTTCGCTTCAGTTTTGGCAATGGAAAAGCAGGAGATTCAGGCTAACGGGGCTTCTAGGTACAACGATAGCCTCCGCATGCTATGCAAATTGGCTGGCGGCACTAGTATCAGCCGCAAGGAATGCGCACAGCTTGAGGAACTGCTTTATCATGTTCGCTTGGTGATGCCAAAGAACAAAAGCTTTCGGAAAAAAGCGGTAAAGTAAGTGCAGTTCTTGAGTACTTGGAAGTATTTGTACTGCGATAAGATAACTAGCATTCATTGTGCTTGTGCAGGCTTGTCTTCGATCTTCTTGCGCTTTTCCCGCCCTCAGCGCGACCAACGTTCAACTATCCAGCAAGCGAGCCTAAGAGTAAGAAGAGGAAAAAGAATAAGAAAGGATCAAGCTAAGTCAGTTTCTTCCAGGTCAAGCGAACATTTGTCAGAAAGTTTGCCGACACAAAAGCTGGTTTTCTTTATCAAGTTGGTGCGAATGTGCGTGCCTTCACGTGATCTGGTTTCGTCTTTCCTCTATGGCACTTGCAGAAGTTGCGATTTCAAATTAAAGGCGGCCTGCTGCTCCGACGCTTCCTCGCTTGCTAACAGTGTCTGCACGGCTTCCAGCACGCGCTCTCGCTGTACAACCAGTCTCAACGCCACGTCCGAGTCACTCTGTGCTCGTTTCAGCAACGCAGCGAGTGCTCCAGCCGCAGCCACACGCACCATCGAGTACTTGCCATCCGCCACACCAAACGATCCACAGCAGCAATCAACCACACGCTCCAGAGCATTTTTACCCTTAAGGAGCGTCTCCGCCGGTGCACGCTCCGCAACTGCAGCCAATGCCTGAAAAATGGCTTTGCGGACACTCCAGGCTGCCAAATGTGGCGATTCCACGCTACCACACAGCCACAACAAAGTATCCACTGCAGTCTCAACTTGTCCGTCATTCGTGATCGATTGTACTGGCCACATGAGTGCAAGCGCTTCGAAAACGCATTTGATCGGCAGCGGAGGCAGCGACGACTTCGTAGACTC